CTATGCTATACTATACTGTACCGTACCATACAGTAACTAAACTACACCTTGCCATAATACTTTGCACACTACACTAAAATACAATACAGTGCACTACACCGTACAATATCATACTATACTCTATAATACCATTATACGCTATGCTACCTGCTGTACTCAATACTCTCCTCTACATTATGCCTCTGTACTCTACTCCAAACAATGCTCTACTCCAAACTATGCTCTATATTCTACAGAATGCCCTGCTCAATACTATAGACGATACTATACTCTGTATATGCTATACTCTATACTATACACTATACCATATAATATACTGTACTCACTAGTATACTAAACACCATACTACACACTATACTACACCAGGCTTTCTAAAAGTAGACTGAATTTCACGGCACTCTACTCTACTATGCTTTACTAACCTTTACTCGACTATATTCTACTATACTATACTGTACTATACTACACTATAGTATAGACTATACTATATACGGTACTACACTTTACATTACGTTAGCTTACGAAACGATACTTACTAAACTATGCTACACTGTACTTATACTACATCACACCACACCTCACTATACTACATTCTACTATAAATTGCCTACGCGAGGCTTTACTGTTGCTATTGCGATTACTGCTGCTACTACTATCACTGTCACTGCTACTGTTACTATTGCTTTTGCTGATACTGATACGATTACTCAGTGCTCCACACTGGTTCGACGTGATACCCAGCCTCTGCAGGTGAGAGCCAGCCAGCCTCTGCCTCCTGCCCGCCAAGAATGGATAGAGCCTCATAGGCCTGCCACGTTTAGTTGGCGTAGGGCTTTGGGGTTGAGAGTTTGGAGTACCGGGTTTAGGGTTTGGGGTTGTTTGGGGCAGTAGCGACTGCAGGGGTAGTGGCAGCACTAGTGGAAAGTGGTGGACGAGCAGTATACCGCTACTTCAAGACCGCCACAGCCATGGACCAAGCACTGGGTGGCGAAGGCAACAGCGGTGGCCTGAATCTCGTCAGCACTTTCCAGCTCCTCCTGTCACAGGGTGTTGGGCTTTCGTTTGGGCTTAAGGCTTCGGATTTTGGGTTCTGGGTTTGCGGGAATCCCTGGGTCATCACACCGTACGAAACTGATATCGTTAACACCATGAAACAGACACCGTTGAATGCACGTTGCAAACCCACACTATCCTGTCTCATGAACCTCACAGAAACCGTCAACCCATGACCCTGGCAATGCTTGAGGCGCACACCTATCACAGGAATGCACCAAAGCCCGTTGAATGCAGGTGGGGTCAAAGCCTGCGTCTCAACTCCAAGCAACAACATCTGACTTTTGTGTCATATCCACGATATACAGCGCGAAGCCACGAACACTGAGGTGCTCAATGCGACTAGACGTCACAGGAACAGACTCCATGCCCTCGATATTGAAACTTAAGCCGAGGAGCTACAACAGTGGAATGAAGGGCGCAACAGTGATGTAAAGGTTGTTAGTCGTACAAGTGGAAACCTTGAGATAACGATAATGGTAAAAACAGCAGCAACAAAAACCACAATCAGAATAATCATCACTAAAATGACAATGATACCGACACTAATGCAATAAGAGTTCTGCTAACAACGAAAATACCAATAGCCGTGACAATAACACTAACAAGTACAAATCATGCAAAGACGTAAGAATGACAATAGTAAAGAGGATAGCAATAATACTAATAATACTGACAACAAGACCAAGACGACCACCGATAATAGTGACAGCAATCACAGCAAAAACAACAATGACAATAACCCCAATACTACTAACAATAAAAATGCTAACGACATTAATCATCATCATAGACATGGCACTACATAGTAACAAGAGCAAGAAGAAGAAGCAGAGTAATAACAACAATAGTAACAACAATAATCCGCATCATCATCATCATCATCATCATCATCATCATCATGGCAGTGGTAATGGTCATGGTGATAGTAATAGTAATAAGAGAAACAAGGAGAAGCATAATATTGCTAACAGCAATGACGATGAGACAATGGAATCAGTATTCATAGCAATAGCAAGAATAGCAAGTATATAGACCCATACGTATACATATATATATATATAGATGGAAAGAAAGAAAGATACATAAGAAGGTTAAATAGATAAATAGATAGCGAGTGAGCGAGCCACAGCGGGAGAGACAGAGAGAGTAACGATAAGAATGGTCATTCAAGTGACTGTCTTTAGCTAGGGAGCAGAGGAGTCTGTGATTCAGGGTAGCCTCCCTAAGACCGAAACCCTGAACCCTCGCCCTCGAAACCCTAAACCTTGAAACCATAAATCCTAAACCCGATTTAAACCGCAAACCCGTGTGGGTAGCCTGCAGCAGCATCGCCCGGACGGCCTCACGGACCCCAGCCGGTGCTGGAGCGCCCGCTGTCACCAGCCTGGTCACCGGTTTTCGGACTTTCGGAACATCCATGCCACCATGTCACGGAGCCGATTTGCCAAAGCCGATTTTGTTTCTCACAAACCCCTAAACCCAAAGCCCTAAGCCCACGACGACCTTAAACCCCTAAACCCTAGACCTTGACCCCTGAACCCCTACACCCTAACCCCTAGAACCCTGAACTCCTATAGCCTATACCCCTAAGCCCTGAAGCCCCCTCAACCCTACACTCCCAGAGCCTCCTCCAAACTTCCTGAATTCATTGACCCAGATTTCCTCAAGAGGCTTCCACATATGATTTCCTGGGTTTAGGGTTCGAAGCTTGAGGTTTAGGGTGTGGGGCTTAGGGTTTTGTTTAGGGATATACGGCTTAAGGTTTAGGGTTTGCGGTTTGGAGTTTAGGTCTTGAGGCTTAAGGTTCATGGTTTAGGGTACTAAATAGCATCTGCTTCTATCAGCGTGTGTCCAAGGTTTCGAATCCAGCCCGCAACCCGGACTTAATCTTTCAGACGTGGATGGGATTGAGACCCTGAACCCGAAACGTCAGTTTCAAAAAGCCTCTTGGAGACCCTTAAGACACCCCCAGGCCGGCGGAGAGAGCTTCGTCGAGTACGGGGGCTGCCGAGCAAATTCCGAGCGAGCTCCTCCCAGCGGCTTCTTGGCTCCCTGGCTCCCAGTAGGGTTCAGGGTTTCGGGTTTGGGGGATGGGGGAAGGGGAAGGGGGAAGAGAGACTACCATAGGGATCCCCTCTCCCCATGCGGTTTTGGGGCTTAGGGCTTAAAGCTTGGGGCTTAGGGCTAAGGCTTGGGGTTACTTGCGCCGGTGGCTGAAAGAACGCAGAGTGTGGGAGGGGAGCTTAAGCCTCTTAGTGGGTTTCCTAGCCTTCTTGAACGGCCTCATGGGGGCTGAGGGGGCTAGTATAGAAGTATTTGCAGTGTCAGATTTCACCAGTCAAGGATTTAATTGGGGTCTGGGGTTCAAGAGTTTAGGATGTTGGGGCTTAAAAGGGCCTTAAAGAGTTGTGTCACGGTGACAATACTGGCAGTCATGACGTTCACCGGTCGCGGTAATCATACTTCTGATCGGCATACCACCATCAACTGGACCTATGCTTGGTTTCTCAGATCCTAAACCCTAAACCGCAAGTGACATCTTCCTCGCCGGGTCCTCTGGCGAGGCATCGTGCTCTTCGTAACCAGGCGGACACGCCATGCCCCGTTGCAGAGTTGAAGCTCCAGCTGAAGCTCAAGCTGGGTTTCTATGATGATTGCTGTACGGATTCCAAGAGGGGTCACTACAAGCGTTTTGGGTCAAGGAAAGTTACCACGATGAAGAAACCGTATTATCCACTATAGATCCCTATATCGTAACGTGAAGTACATTCCTTAACAAGAACTCAGTTAAGAGTCGAACTGAAGAGTTTCAGGACTTCTGAGGTCTGAGAGAGTCTAAACTCCTACGGCTCTTAGCCCGGAGAGGGTTTAGGTCTAGAGTTTAGGGTTGAGGGTTTGGTGTTTGGGTTGGGGTTCTAGCCGCCCGGGCCGGCAGCACTTTACCGCACTACTGTCGTTCTAATCCTTCCAGGAGAGAGAAGCTTGGATGGAATTTGGGCGCGGAACATAGCAGCCATGTCGGTACAAGCCAGATGCCTCGTCCGAACTAGTGCACGAAAAACTATATATAAAACCCAAAGACCCGCCCTGATCCCTTAATAAACTTCCGAGTCTAGAAGGTCCCGTACACTTTCGCCGCTCTCGTATTCTTTTCGGAGCCGAAATCAACCAGGCAGTGGCCCACGTATGGTGTGAACGTCCCCGAAGCATGCAGGCTTCGGGATATGAGGTGCAAGAATTTGGCTGTAGGATGTAGGGTCCCGATGTATGGGGATGCGGCAAGCATGTTCCGAGGCTCAAGAGCATTCGGAGAAGGAAGGGGCACGAGCCAACTGAAGCAGGGTGTCCTAGTCGGTTTTGTAAGGCTAAGAATATGGAAAATAGAATATAGTGGATATGGAATATAGAATATAGGATATAGAGAAAATAGACTATATCGAACGTGTATATAGGCCGATTGCAAAGTTTGAGTTCGAAGAACTGAAGCGCAAAAGAATCGGCGTCTAAGTCTAAGGGTCGAGTCTTGTTGTCTCAGGAGTAGGGTTTGTGGCCTGTGGTGATTGACCATGCAGCGTCTTGCAAACATCTCAGCGGCCAATGTTTCAAAGCTGTGGCAGAATGGAACTCCCCGCAACAGCCCCCTTTCCTCTACACCCCAAACCTTAAACCCTGAACCCCGAGCCCTAAACCCTAAACCTAAACCCTACACCCACAAACCCAAAACCCCGAACCCCTAAACCTTGATAGCTTGAGGTTTCAGGATTTGAATGGCCTTAGGGCCTTCGGCCTTTAAGGCTCCTAGGGCTTTGGGGGTTAAGGCCACTCAGGGACTCAAAGCCTGAGGCTGATGCTAAATCACCCGCCGACTTGCGAGGTAGGAAGGGTGGCCTTCCTCCAAAGATCGAAGCAGGCCGGGGTTTAGGGTTTAGGTTTAAGTTTAGTTTAGGGTTTAGGGTTCAGGATGTAGGGCTTGGCTTATATGAAGCGTAGAGCTTTGAATTTCCTGTTCGTGTTCGGAGTGGTAGGATTTCACTAGTTGGTGCCGAGATGAGAGTGCTTTGGGCTTTCAGTTGGCTTCGGATTTGCTTCGTGCAGCGGGACTTTGCGTGTCAGCTGGGGTCCGCAACGGTTATGCATTTTAGACTGGGATGTCACGAACTCTTTTAGCTGGTCATGAACACATGCTGAAGAGGCGAAGATTCATCCGCAAAACAAGTGGACGACTTGGAACCCTAAACCCTAAAGCGTATCACCAACAGGAGTCACAGGCAAGCACCGCCGAGCCCAACGAGGAGAAAATGCGATGAAAGGGGTCGAACAGGCCGAAATCCATCTTTGTTTGAAGACGTAAGAGAGGTGTAATTCATGAACAAAAGGGCCATAGAGAACGAGCTTGCTTACGAAGAGAATGCCCTCTAAACCTTAAGCCTTAAGCCGCATGACCTTAAGCGCAAGCCAAGAACCCTAAAGCCTCAACAAGGTCCAGCTTTCTGGTGTTCAGGCCAGGATAAACATTCAGGGCCAATGACAAAAACCAGGATCTAATCTTTGTAGAAGATCCTACAAACTTACTACCAGTAACTTAGGCACTTGGCACAAACCCGAAACCCCTGAACCCTAAACCCCTGAAACCCTAAACCCTGCAACCCCACACCGCGAAAGCCTAAAGAGTGAAGCCTGAAACCCAAACACCAAACACGAAACCCTCTAAAACCCTAAGACCCTACACCCCTGAATCCTACATTTAGGGTGTAGGGTTTGGGGTTTACGGCGTCTCTGCCTGTCAACAACAGAAAGAGGAGGCATCCGCAGGACCACACCTGGCAGAGAAGAGAGGGAAACTTCGAGGCTGTGGTTAGGGTTTAGGGTTTAGGGTTTGTCCTTCCCAAACTCCAAACCCCTAGCCCTAAGCACGGCGGCTGCAACCGATTTTATCAACCCGAAGTGTGAAGCTTCGCACAGGGATTCGTGGTCGTATGTT